CAGCTCCCAGAATTCCTCAGCCAGGCATGCTGGGAGTTGAAGTCCACAAGTCATCAAAGGGCCAGGTTTGAAGACCCCTGACCTAAGCAGACACCTTCGCCCTGCTTGGCACACGGAGACGCACCCCAAAGATTAACCCAGCACTTCTCAGTCATGGCATCTGGAAGTCGTGTGGGCTTCGCCTCCCAGCATTCTGGATAGGGAATTCTGGGAGTTGAATTCCACTTGTCTTGAAGTGGTCAAGGTTCAGCAACCCTAAGCAAGCCAGTCTCTCTCTCTCTCTCTCTCTCTCTCTCTCTCTCTCTCTCTCTCTCTCTCTCTCTCTTTCTCTTTTTTCTCTTCGTCTCTTTCCTTCATTCTTTCTCTTTCTCATTCTCTCTTGCTCTCTCTCTTTTTTCTCTTTCTCTCTTTCTCTCGTGCTCTCTCCCTCTCTCTCTTTTTTCTCTTTGTTTCTTTCCTTCATTCTCTCTCTCATTCTCTCTTGCTCTCTCTTTTCTCTCTCTCTCTCATTCTCTCCCTCTCTCTGGTTCTCTCTCTCTCTCTCTCTCTCTCTCTCTCTCTCTCTCTCTCTCGTTCTCTCTTTCCCTCTCTCTCTTTCTCTTTTTTCTCTTTGTCTCTTTCCTTCATTCTTTCTCTCTCATTCTCTCTTGCTCTCTCTCTTTTTTCTCTTTCTCTCTCTCTCTTTCTCTCGTTCTCTCTCTTTCCCTCTCTTTTTTCTCTTTGTCTCTTTCCTTCATTCTTTCCCTCTCTCTCTTGCTCTCTCTCATTCTTTCCCTCTCTCTCTTTCTCTCTCTCATTCTCTCCCTCTCTCTGGTTCTCTCTTTCTTTCTCTCTCTTTCTGGTTCTCTCGCTCTCGTTCTCTCTCTCTCTCTCTCCCTCTCCCTCTCCTCTGGGGTCTTCTAGTCCAGCCCCCTGCTCAAGCAGGAGAACCTCTGCCATTTCAGACGAGCGGCTGTCCGGTCTCTTCTCAAAGAGCTCCAGTGATGGAGCGCCCACAGCTTCTGGGGGGGGGGGGGGGGAAATGTTATCCCATTGATTTGATTGCTCTCACTGTTAGGAAGTTTCTCCTTAGTTCCAGGTTGCTTCTCTCCTTGCTTCGTCTCCATCCCTTGTTTTCTTTTCTTTTTTTTAAAGATTTTATTGATTTATTGATTTTTCTCTTAAATACCTATGTTAGTTTTTCAACCAACGAGCTGTCCGGAATCAACAACACTCATAT